CATTTGTTGTCTAATGTTGACAAGACTATGAGGTGTGGGCCTTTGGCTGTAATGAGACACTATCTGTCACTCATATGTGCTTTGACTCATTTTCTCTCTCCATAGCTGGTTTTTCCTCTTCGTCTCTGATGACTTCATTAGATTTGGGCATGCTCTCTCAATCAAAACACCATACGGACATGTCAAGACAGAGTGCAGAGCCACTCCCTCCCTGTTTTGTTCTGCTAAAATATATCCATCTTCTGACATAATCTCCGGTTTCTTTCGGGACATGGATCATCTGGGTTTGGTGGGCGATTTGATTTATAACTCTTATTAACCCATTCCTCTCCTGTCCTCCGGTCATTACGCTCGCCTCATCTGTCCGGCACCTACTCTCGGTTTGTTTGTGAACTCTCTTCCCCTCCTTGAGCTGCAGGTCTAGCCGGGGCCTCTTTGATTGCGGTGTTTAATGAGAGGCAGCCACCACAGAGAGAGAGAGACAGGAAATCCATAACCCAGAGAACAGTAAACCCTGCCAGCCATTAATCACTGACAGCAGCGCTCCTCCATGGCCTTCACCGCTGACAAAACCCTCCCTTTTTTATCCTCCCTGGGAATGCGCGCCAGTCCTGCATGTAACACATAGCAGACTAGATACATTTGGCCTGTTAAACACCCCACAACCAGTCAGTGCAACCGACCCATCCAGTGCGCATCCCTAAACCAACCCATCACATGCACACACAGCCTAGAGGGGACGTTCGAGCACTGATCCAGCCTTCAACAGTGAATGCGACTGCCTCAGAGAGTTAAATCAATGCGCTCAACTGTCCCTTTGCGTGAGTCTCAGCGTTCTATATGAACACAGCTGATCCAGCAGGCTGCTCTTGAATGCCACTTGTGGTTGACGGTAGTTTAGGACCCACACACAAAAGCTTATAAATGTTATGTAATGATCTGAGACGTGTTTGTTGGAGGCACCTTTGTGTGTCCTAACATAACTGGCCTATAAAGCGATAAAAGCACTCTCTTTATGTAAATCTGAGCTTTTGTCCTAACCTGCCGTGACCGCATCAAGCGACAGGACATTTCACTGTCTATTTATTGGGTGTAGTGCTCAGTAGCCCCGCCCACTGTCAAATCTGATTGGTCTAAAATCCTGCTTCTCATAACTTTATATTGGACATCAATTATCATATTTGCAAATGCTGTTCTGTATGCTTTTAAATCAGTTAGTCTATTTAATTAATAGTCTAATTAATTTATTATAATATTTTATTCTTAAATAATAATTTTATTTTTTAATTTGAGATTATTATATATATAATTATATTTATAAATATAAATACAATTCCAATATATAATCATAAATATATAATTTAAACTAGTTGCAATAATAATAATAAAAAAATAAGAAGACAAAGAAGAAAAAGAAAAAGAATGAAACATTCGGGGAAAATATAACATTGTTATAACACATTTTAATTCTATTTATTATGATAATTACATTAATGCATGTAATAATAATAATAATAACAATTCATCTGAAACATTTGGGGAAAAAGTAACTTGTTGTTATAACACATTTTAATTATTTTTATTGTAATTAAATAGATTTATTACGTGTATTAATTAAATTCCTTCTCTCTGGTTTTCTGTGCACAGGTGCTCTATAGCTATGAGAATTTCTGAGGTTTTTGGGAGAATGTTGCTTGTAATTAGTTCACCTGTGCTGAAACACAAGTCATCGTCTCTTGAGATGCTTGACACAAATTTTCAAAGACCTTTGAACCATGCAACAACACAAGAAGCTATGTTTGCCCACCATTCCACTGGAATGAGTTATTAGTGGCTAAATTTCTTCATCTTTTGCATGTCAGGGTACATTTCTATGCATACTTTGGGGTCCAAAATACACTTGTGAATTTTTTTCACCTTTTCTACATTTTCATTACAAATTATATTATCAGCATTTAACAATTGATTGAAATTGTTATGCTGATAAAATAATTTCTAATGAAAACATAGAACATTTGAAAAATGCAACACAAAAATTTGTTTTTGAACACAGAAAAAAGCTTGAAAAAAGTTTTGTTCAGTTTAGTAAAGAATAATTTTTCGCTCTTGTTCACAGTAGCAGCATAGGCAGTATGGTTGTGAGGGAGTTGGCGTAGTCGACAGGATGCCAGTCTTAGAGAAACAAGAAACATCTCCCCACTGCAGTCGCTGAGGGATCTCTGCCCAATCTGATTATTGCATTCGTCAACCTGCCACCCTGTTCTGCAACTAAACAAAGCCAACACCAGATAAGACCCTGCCGACTCCTTCAACACTGCTTGAGACAATTCCACACGAATGTAAATGCACCCACCCTCCAGTGAATGTCTTATTGGGAGCTTAACAGTCTGACATTCAGGAACTGATACCCTGAAAGACTGCAACTGTAGCTCGGTGTTTGTGGATTTTCCTATTACAAGACTGTCCCAGCTATTTATTTTTCAGTTTGGTTTATTGCTCGTTCCTAAAGGCTCAATTCTAGAGTGATTGCTGACTATAGTTCTTGAAGCCTGGACTGGGTTTATACCAATATGTCTTGTAATGCTCTCCAGTGAATGTCTTATTGGGAGCTTAACAGTCTGACATTCAGGAACTGATGGTGGTAAATGGCACGATTAGTGTAATCTTCTCAACATATGTTTACATCATTGTGTATTAAAACACCTCCGGTTTCACACGTGTAGTGACTGGGCCTGTTACCAATGCAACGTTTTGACGTGGAGGGATGCGCCATTGAACCATGCAACTATTGAGTACAAAGCTGGAGGTTCCCAAGGGAGCTTTGGCCCACTTTTCTTGTCAAAAGATAATAGCTAACTGAGGAGAAGAGGGGACATCGAACATATTAGTTTCTGAGCATCCTGTTTAGTGTTCCTCTCTGAAAAAATCCCATACCCACAAGATGGTGCCCAAACTGCTATTTACAAATGAATTTGAATAAATTCACTTAGTCCCACATTCTATTAGGTATCTTTAACTATTATGCACAGCACATTGTTTTTCAAATTTATTACAAGTGTACATGTTGGATACTTATGTGTTGTTGTGCTGTACTTTAGAGTGAAAATACATAACATTTGCAATTTTTAGTTTTAGATAGTGACAGTAAAGACTACAAACGATGCAGAGAAGAGTGAGGTGGTGGATGGCTACATGGTAGTGAACTGCTTGCAAGGTTTGCATGCAGTATTCATACACTATTCATAGACAGTCCTGTGGTGACCCTAACCATGATGATTACCTTAACCTTTGTAGGTGCAAATGTGAATCTAGTTGTGTTCACAATATGTTATATTTACATCAAATGCTTGACAAGAATATGTTAGGTTTCATTTAAAAGCAGGAATGCAAAGCTTTTTATTTTTATAACAGCATTTATAACTGCACATTAATTCTTCCCTTAAAACGTGATTTTATCTGTAAATTTGATCTGTAAAGCAGTTTGTCTTTTTTGTTAGTTTGTTTGTTTATGGCATTGCATTGTCATGGCAAAGTAATTTTCACAATTAAATTGTGTTAACGTGCATATTATTAACATCTTTTTTAAAATGTGGTTGTAAGTACTGTAGGCTACATACATACACATAATATACTTCACTTAATATAAATCATAGCTATTTTCAGTTTAATTACTGGGAAAAATAGGCTTTTTAAAATTCTGAGTATTTTCTTATTTTTGTTTTTTATTCTTTTGGTGATTCTTTATTTATTAAGCATTTTAGATTTATAACTATTTACAGCAGAGCCCAAGATTCACCTATATTCATACGATACACA